CGAGAGCCAGGTGTGCCCTCATTGGCACTTTGACCCAGAGGAAGTACTTTATCGCCCTTCAGCCTCAGTTTCCTCATCTGTGAGATGGGGAGAGTCGTTCCAGTCTCGTTCGAGTGTCAGTGTAGAGAGGACAGTGCCGGGGACCCTGACGTGATGATTCCCACACCCCGTCCACTAACTCTGCTGTGAGTTGTGTGTATGTGTGTGAAGTTAAATTTACCATCTTAACCGTTTTTAAATGTGCAGTTCAGCGGGTGTAAGTCCATTCACATTGTTCTGCAGCCGTCACCACCGTCTGTCTCTGTAACTCTTCGTCATCCCGCGGCGGAGCTCTGTCCCCATGGAACACTGACTCTCCACTCCTCCCTCCCCCGAGCCCCTGGCCACGGCCCTTCTACATTCTGTCTCTATGAACTCGACCTCGCACAAGTGGCATTATATAATAGTTCTCGCGCCGTGATTCGCTTATTTCACTTAACGTAATGCTTTTAAGTCCATCCACATTGTTACATGTGTCGGGATGTCCTTTTCTTTGCGGCTGGATGATATTCATTGTGTGGATGGACCACATTTCGTTTATTCATTCATTTGTCAGCAGACACTTAGGTTGCTTCTACCTCTTGGCTATTATGAATAATGGGTGTCCAAGTATCTGTCTGACTCCCTGCTTTCAATTCTTCGGGGTATATACGCAGAAGCGGAATTGCTGGATCACATGGTTATTGCACATTTTAAAAATCTTGGTTACTGGTTTGGAAACCAGAATGCGTAGTTTATCTGCTCACTGTGAAGATCGTGTCTCACTTTCGCGTTGCTCTTGATGGTTCGCAAAGCATTGGTACGTGTCCCTGGGCTGGACACAGGTAGTAGATGGAGCGGAAACCAGGAGTTCTGGCCCCAGCTGCCGGTGTCGGCCGACTTGAAGGCAGCTCAGGCTGCTGAGGTGGGTGAAGGGGGGGCTGCACCCTCAAGACATCAGCGAAGTGGGGACCTGGAGACCACACAGGGGAGCCTAGGAGAGAGGCTGGAGGAGGCAGGATGAGGTCAGTGCCCACCAGGTACCAGCCTGGTCTGAGCCCTCCCAGCTCATCCCAGAGCTGTCCTGTGAGGTTGGGGCCAATTTTCCGATTGCATGTCCTTTGAGGAACAGACGCCTGCTTTGTGCCTGGCATTGTCTTAGGTGCTGGGGATACAGTGGCGAGTGTGATAGGCAGTGATCCCTGTTGTCAGGAACTTAGATTCTGGAGTAAGAGCTCAGCACGTTGAACAGGGAGCAGGACCCCGGGCATCACTCTGAGCATGTCCCACGTTTCGCTCGTCCGATGCTGGAAACGGTCTCTATACCCATTTTACAGATGGAGAACTTGAAGCGCAGAGAGGTTAAGTGACTGGTCTGAGGTCACAGGGTTGGACGGAGGTAGGGCTGGAGTTTGAACTCAAGCAGAGTGCTTCCGGGGCACACATTTGAAGCTACTCTTTCTGACTTCCTAGGACGGGGTGGCTAACGGACAGCATGAACAGCTATGCAGACATGACATTCCAGCTACTGCAGGGGCTGAAAGATGGCGGCGTGGGCAGCGTGGTACAATGGGGCACAGTCTTAGGTCGAGGGGTCAGGAAAGGCTTTTGGAGGAAGTGACATTGGACTGAGACCTGAATGATAGATGGAGCCAGACTGTGACCAGGAGAAGACTGGGGACCAGTCATTCCAACTGAGACCTGAATGATAGATGGAGCCAGACTGTGATCAGAAGACTGGGGACCAATCATTCCCCGTAGAGGCAACAGCACGTGCGCAGACCCCTCTGTCTCGGGTTCTGAGCCAGCCAGGGGCGAAGTGAGTTCTTCCTGTAAGCTATTCATAGGCTCAATCTTACCAATGAATCACAATATTTGAGCTGAATCTGACTACTGAACGACACTTGGTCAAGGTTGGTTCCAAAAGCTCTTTGTTTAGAACTATATTATTTTGGGCTCGGCTCCTAGATTAGCTGCTTCATGGTATTTATGATGATTTCCCCAGATTTCCAGCAGCCTCCAGCATCGTGGGTGTGGGTCACTATAGGATTTCATTCAGAAGATAAAGTGTAATGTGGTGACTTATGTTCTTTGTGCCCTAATGCGTTACTGCTCTGGCCTGGGCCAGGGAGTGACAAGGCCTTGGTCAAGGGTGACAGCAAGGCCTGCCAGCCCAGGAACAAAACGATAGTCCCCTACCTGCTGTGGATTTCAATGTCTTTTGATGAGCCAGGCCAGGATCCAGGCTTTCCCCTGCTCTCCTGTGGGACTTGTACCATCATCCCTACTTTACAGATGAGGAAACTGAGGCTCTCCCATGGCCAGCAGCGGTGAAGGGACCCCACTGGACCCAACTCTGTTCGACACAGCCCAGTTCATACAACCCCGATGCGTCACTGCAGGGCTAAACCTGGAATGGCCCAGCTAGGCCTCGAGGACCAGATTTCAGCCGCCTTTGCAATTCCTATCAAAAACCTCTGGTCAAGCAAATAATATACATGATATTTTGATGGGATAAAGCAGCGGTCCCCAACCTGTTTGATACCAGGGGCCGGTGCTCCCATGAGAATCTAATGCCTGATGACCTGAGGTGGAGCTGAGGCGGTGATGCCGGCACCGGGGAGAGGCTAATACAGAGCTTTGCTCGCTTGCCTGCCACTCACTTTCTGCTGTGTGGCCCGGTTCTAACAGGCCACAGACTGGTACCAACCAGTCCACGGCCCGAGGGTTGGGGAC